CAGCTTGGCAGCTGGGCCGAGCTCCCCGCTGTGCCAGCGGACCCCCCAGCCTCGGGACACTGCAGCGGGGCTGACACAGAAATGCAGCAATCCAGAAAAGGGAAAGTTCAACTGTGTCAGGTTATTATTTAAAAAAAAAAAAAAATCGCGTTTTGCTACATCTTTATCTATCACAATATCTCAACTGGCTCTTCCTAGTTACTCTGAGAGTGCTGCAAACCCCAGCCCCCAAAAAGTCACCAGCTGAACGGGTTAGAAAAGACTCGCTACCCTAAACCCTGCTCTCCCACACATCTGTCCTGCAGCTCTCCCTCCCTCCAGCAGCAATTTCTAACCGAGACCAGTGCAAACTGACCCAGGACCTTTGTCCCGCCGCCCTTCGCGCCCGTTTTCTGGCTGTGCGGAGCCTCCGCCGCCCGCACAAGGGACCTGTCCCAAACACACCCCAGCCCTCATGCTTGGTTTTTCTTACTTGTGCCTGCAGATGCATTTAAAATAAAACCGACCCGGGCTCGGTACCTGATCCAAGCCCTTCCCGCCAGCAGCCCAGCCCGGGAGCACCCTGCGCAGGCAGCACGCACCCGTGGCTGTTTGCACATGGGGCCAGGCCTCCGGTTCCGCTCACCCTGCCTGCTTCTCCCTGCCTGCTTCTCTTCTCCCTGCCCGCTTGGGTTCCGGGAGAAGCGGAGCCCTGCAGGACCCCCGGGGAGGGAGGAGAGGTCTTCGCAGGGTGCGCGGCATGCGGGGTGACTGTCGCTGGCTCCCCAGCGCACCGCAGTCAGCTGGAGCTCTTATTTGCTCTGCTGTGTTTGATTTAAACAAGCTCTCCGCATGCTGCCGTGAGGCCAAGGGAAAAACTTTGGCAAGAGCCCCTGTGCTGGCCGGGAGCTGGCTGCAGGCTGCACCGCTCTGCGCCTCAAATCCTTCTTCTCGTGCTTTTTGTGTTTCTGGGCATTTCCCTTTTTTTCTTTCATGGGCAGAGCGAGGTTTTGAGGTTGCCCTGCCCTCCCACCTGGAGAAGGGTAAAGGGGAGAGTAATTCAGCACTTTCACCCGGAGATGGCTGGGAAGAGACCCTGCGTTCACCACCGGGCTGGTGGTTCAGAGGCCCACAGTCCTCATGCAGAACAGGCACCAGGAATGCCTGGCGGTGTTCATCAGCACCGATTTTAGCTCTTCTCCAAGAGGCAGAAATACCCCAGTAAGGAACTAGAAGCCCCTGTGGCGGGCAGGCAGGGAGGAGCAGAGCCATCTCCCTTCGCCGTGTGGCTGGCGGAGGGCTGGGCTGCGGCATCACTCGGTGCATCGGCATTAAACCCGGCTCTGTGGCGCTGCGGCAGGGGAGCGCTGCGGGGCAGGGCACCCACGCAGGGGTTACGGCGGCCACGATTCCCCCCCAAGGCCACCTCTGACAGCTGCTGGCTCCTCTCACCAGGGATGAAACCATCAGGGAGGCCAGGAACCAGCGAGGGGAATCTCCAAAGCATCCCGGGCGCTTGGGGCAAAGGGCAGGATTTCTGGGGACGCGCAGGAGCAGCAGGTCCTGTGCAGTGAACCTCGTGTGTTACGAGCGCGTGGAAGGCATCACCTCCTCCACCGGCGTGATGTCAGGCTTGGGCAATTAGCCTGAGCCATTAATGCTGATGCTGCCAGTCATTAATGAGGTATGTATTCCCAGAAGGTGAGCAGGGCACGCGCACCAAGTCTGGGTGCTGGCAGCGAGCCCCAGAGGTCATCGGCTCCAGTCAACGTGCAGGTCCTGGGCGCTTTTGGACCACGTATGCTTGACCGTACCGGCTGCGGCTGCAGCCTCACCTGGGCAAGGAAATACAAGAAAAGCAAGATCAAACACACCAAAAGCAGGTCACAGAATTGCCTCTGCTGCAGTCGGGCGAGACAAATACTCATTAGGGTGATTACAGGCAGAGGAACTACCCCAGCTCCCTGCTAGTGAGCTGCGCCTGACCTGCACAGGTCTCTGCAGCCTAAACAAGCCCTGGGGCTGTTGTTGCATGTTCAGCTCCAGTTGGCAGCTTAGGAGGTTTCCCCACTGCTCCAGTTCATCCCAGTCCCCTGCTCTGCAAAGGGTCTCATGACCCAACCAGTGCTGGGACCCCAGATCCCCGTGGCTGCAGCACACCCCGGGCAGGCTGGCTGTGCATCCTCAGGGCCGAGGCTTTGGTTCCCCATCGCACACGATCATTAAGAGATCGGCCTCAAAAATGCCCAAGGAGGATGTGCCGTCAACTCAGGATGTGTTTCTGAGAGATTCCAAGCATCTCTGCCCGGCCACCCACCCTGCCTGGCTCCCGTGACAGGAATCCTCTCATCCCCCAGAGATGCATGGGCACGTCCCAGCACCTTAAGCAAGACGCTTGACCTGGTAGCAAGACCTCCACCAACCACCTCCTCACGCAGCGGGTTTAACCCGGCGGGCTTCGTTGTCCGCGCCATGGGCCGTCCCAGCGTTCCTGTCCCGCGGGGTCCCTGCGGCTGCTGCTTTAGATAATGAGCCAAACGAGCAGAGCGCTGCAGGGCTGCCAGCTCGATAAGGCGCTGTGGGAAGCACGGTCCCCGGGAGGGCGGTGGAGGTCCTTTTTGTGGTGGACATCCTGTTCACGGAGGAGGTTCTGCTCGTGGCGAGAGCGAGCGGCAGCGTGGGGCTGCCTGCTCTAACGGGGTGCGGGTCCCCAGCCCAGTGGGGACACCCCACCCCAGCACAGCCTGTGTAACCACAAACAGCACTGAGAATAGACTTTGGGGGACTGTGGGAAGAATCAGAGCAAGGCCCTACCTTCCTGGTGGAAAAGGCGTAATAAAAAGACGCCAAAAATAGTGGCAGTTCGTGCAGCCTGCAGCAAGGGCCCAAACGTTGGTGACGAAGGGCCGTGGAGCCACCCCGCTTGCTCGAGCCACCAGCCCTCCCCACGCAGCAGGGACTCAGCGTGTCCCCATAGCCTGGTAGCCTGGGCAGCCTCTCGCTGCCAGCCCCCACCTGTGAAAACAGAGGGGGGGAAAAAAAAAAAAAAAAGGGGATTTGCGTTCACCGTGGGCGTGCTGCACACACCGACTGTGCATCGCTCTGGGTGCTTCTGATGCAAGCGCCGAAGAACCAAGTGTTATCAACATATTGCCTGCAACGTGGGGGCTACGTGGGGAACAGCACCCGCTCCGCACCAGCGGCCGCTGCCCGCCCAGCCCTTCTCCCCTCCCAAAGGCAGGGATCCCTCCCGCCGGGGCTCCTCGCAGTCGTGCAACCCCTTCCCGAAGAAAATCCCTTTTTATTCAGTTCTTTGGTTCACAGCTCACCCTCTTCAAGCAGTTTAGACCCAAGCGCCCTCCCCATCTCCTGAGCAGCCCCCAAGGGCATCCTCTTCACCCCCAGGGTCCCGCAGCCACCCCACATCAACAGTTCCCCCCGTGTCCTGGGACCCAGGTGGGAGACAGAAAGGGCTAAATGGGCCCCAAAAATTTCCCCAAAATGGGAAAATAGACACCCACATTGCAAGCTGCCACCCTGAAGTCACCTTCCCGCTGCCCCAGCGTGCCTCAGCTGCAGACACATCGGTCCAGCTCTTCCACTGCTCCAGAGCCAGCACTGCTGGAAAGGCCCCGGCCCAAAAATAAATGAAAAAAAATGTGAAAATGCAGTATTTTCCCAGCTCCCAGCCCAGCTGCAAAGGAGGAAGGAGCCACACGGTGCAAACAGTAACACCAACACTAGAAATCGCTTTACCTGGGTGCGTGCAAGGAGGGTAAATCATTACATGAGTAACTGCAAATCAGTCTGAGAAAACTGTCTCCTGCCCGGAGACCGCTCCCAAGCGTAAAAAAAAGGCAAAAATCCTCAAGTTAATTAAAAAGTGCTGGCAGCTCCCCTAATAGATGAAAATAAAACCAGCACGACTGGCTGCTACTGCCCCAGACTGGCCGCTCTAAGCATCCCTGGCTCTCCCAGGGACTGCAGAACCGGGCTGATCTGCCCGACTGCTCCGGGTCGAGGGAATCCTCCAGCAGCAATAGCTGATTGCTTTAAATGCGTATTTTCTAAAAAAAAAAAAAAAAAACCACAAAACCAAACAAAACACACCGTTCATTAGAAAATTAAGCATATTAAAAAAGAAAAAAAGTATGGTTTTTTTTTTTAAAAAAATTGCTATTGTTACAAGTTTATGCTAAAGGATTGGCCTGAAGGCTCTCTGCCCTGTCCCTTCCCTGCGACGAGCTGCCTGGCCGGTGTTCCAGCACTTTCAGGGATGGCTGCCTTCACTTTTCCCTGGAGCTGGGTCACCATTCTGGGACTATTCAAGGTTTTTCTTACAGCCCCAGCTCCTCGATTGAGGGGATGGGACCAAAGATGAGCTGCCCCAGCCCGGGGGGCCCCCACCGCTCCCAAAACACCCACCTGGGCCGAGCTGTCGCCATCAGCACGGCAGCGGGCATGGAGGAGGGCTTGCTGCAGGAAAAGAACGGGTTCCGAGGGCTCCTCCTATCCCAGTTTACTGAGTTCTGCCATGCTCGGAATTCTAAAACTCAGTTCACGAGGGCTAGTTTGCTGCCAGCTTGCAGCCACCCTCTTCGCACACGTTCTGCACGCTCCGGCACCCTCCAAGCGAGCACCCGCTGCTCTTGACCTTGGAAACGATCAGCTCCTGGGCTGGGCAGGGTGGGTGGGGACAGGCCCCAGTGTCCCCCCCCCTGGGGACAGCCCCTTGTCCCCTCTGTAGGCAGAGAAGCAGGCGGCCCCACGCGTCTCAGGGATGCGGGGAGCCCCCAGCCCTGCTCCGTGTGACGCGCCGGAGCGCTGGTCACTGCGTTTTTCTGCTTCTTTTACCCCCTCCTAAAAAAATTCTAGGCATGGGGGGCAGCAAGGCCCTGGGGCTGAGCCACATCCCTGTGTCCCCCCGGGGCTGGGGGGGCAGGTTTGGTGGGGAGATGCCATCAGGAGGGGGGGATGTCCTTCCCTCCATTCCACCCCGCTCCCGCAGCCGCTGCCTTCACCCTCCCTGTCTGCCAGAAGGTTTCGCACCCTTTTTCCCCCCTCCCACCCTGGGGGGGTGTGTGCAGGCAGCCAGCAGTACCCCAATCCTGCTGCTCAGCACCCCAGTCCCGCAGCTCCCACCAGGCTGGCCCCGTGCCCACAAAAAAAAAAAAAAGA